TGAATCACCAAGGAGTGTTGAAAAAAAGAAACCAAAACTGGGAGCATCATGATTCCTGACTTCAAACTAGATTACAAAGCTGTGATCATCAAGACAACATGGTGTTGGCACAAAAACAGACACAGATCAATGGAACAGAGTAGAGACCTCAGAAATGGACCCTCAACTCTATGGTCATCCAATCTTCGACAAAGCAGGAAAGAATATCCAATGGAAAAAAGAAAGTCTCTTCAATATGGTGCTGGGAAAATTGGGACAGCCAATGCAGAAGAATGAAACTGGATCATTCTCTTACACTATACACAGAGATAAGCTCAAAATGGATAAAAGACCTCAATGTGAGGCAGGAATCCATCAAAATCCTAGAGGAGAATATAGGCAGTAACCTCCTCGGCCTCAGCGACAGCAAGTTCTTTTAAGACACGTCTCCAAAGGCAAGGTTAGCAGTAGCAAAAATGAACTTTTGGGAATTTATAAGGATACAAAGCTTCTTCACAGCTAAAGAAATAATTAACAAAACTAAGAGGCAACCCATGAAATGGGAGAAGATAGTTGCAAATGACATTACAGATAAAGGGCTTGTCTCTATAAAGATTTATAAAGAACTTATCAAACTCAACACCCAAAAACCAGATAATCCAGTCAAGAAATGGGCAAAATACCTGAACAGACATTTCTCCAAAGAAGGCATACAAATGGCTGAGACACATGAAAAAATGTTCAACATCCCTAGCCATCAGGGAAATACAAATCAAAACCACAACAAGATACCACCTTACACCATTTAGAATAACAAAAATTAACAATGCAGGATACAACAAATATTAGTGAGGATGTGGAGAAAGAGGAACCCTCTTTCTCTGTTGGTGGGAATGCAAGCTGGTACAGCCACTCTGGAAAACAGTATGGAGGTTCCTCAAGATGTTAAAAATAGAGCTACTCTACAACCCAGCAATTGCACTACTAGGTATTTACACCACAGATAGAAGGGGCACATGTGCCCCAATGTTCATAGTAGCAGTGTCCACAATAGCTAAACTGTGGAAGGAGCCGAGAAGTCCTTCAATAGATGAATGGAGAAAGATGTGGTTCACATATACAATGGAATATTACTCAGCCATCAGAAAGGATGAATCCCTACCATTTGCATGGACAAGGATGGAACTGGATTATTGTAAGTGAAATAAGTCAAGCAGAGAAAGACAATAATACAATTTCACTCTAATGTGGACATAAGGAATAGCGTGGAGGACCACAGGGAAGGGAGGGAATACTGAACGGGAAGAAATCAGAGAGGGAGACAAAGCATGAGAGACTCTGGATTCCAGGAAACAAACTGAGGGTTACAGAAGGGATGGGGTGGGGGGGATGGGTTAACCAAGTGATGGGTACTGAGGAGGGCACGTGTCGTGATGAGCACTAGGCATAATATGTTATACACAACTAATGAATCATTGAGCACTACATTTGAAACTAATGATGTACTATATGCTTGTTAACTGAACATAATATTAATTTAAAAAGTAATGGAGTCCTCAGTAGACCTTACAGTATACTGGTAAAGATATGTTAAATAATGAAATGAATATAAAAACTAAGGAAAGTATGGTTGCAAGTTTTGATAGTGCTCAGAATGGAAGGAACATTTCCTTATGAGACCCTGACCTAGGTTGGGGGTGGCCAGGAAAGGCTCTTTTGTGAAAAGTAACCCTTGAGCTGATTGGAAGGATGAGTAGGAGGTTACTAAGGAAAGGAATTGGGGTGTGGACTAAATGAGTGTGTGCGTCATGCTCATATGTTTGTAAGTAGTGCTTACTGTGGGGCATGGCATCTGTGCACTAGTAGCTGTGGTTGCAGCGCTAGCTGTCATCAGCTGTAGGCCTCTGATACTGCCCTTATCATACCCTCTCGGTGACGTGGTGGGCGCAGTTAGCCCTGTACATTTCTCTCATCTCGACTATTTCTTAGTACTTGAGATTTCAGAGTTAATCTTCTGTGAAACGTGAAGTAGATGAAGTCAGTGTTGGCTAGCTTCTTTTACCCCCCTCTCTGCCGGCAGACCTGCTCCCCTCCCCTCAGCTCCCACGCTGGCCTAGGAAATTACTCTTCCTTTACTTACCCCTGTCTTATTTTGGTAGTTTTCCCATCAGCATCTTTCTCTTTCATTCTCAGTTTTTATTAGCCATTTTCTTCTTTTTAAAGTTTGTATGAAAGATTGCATGCGTTGAGCTTGAAATTAGTGAATTGAGGGTACACAGTATCCTGTCTGGTTTAAAGGGGACATATTCTCTTCACTTCTTAGAGTATTAGCTGGAGAAGATTGCCAGTTTAGCTTCTATACTTATTCTTAAAAACATCTCCAGTGGCATTTATTTAATCATAGTAACAGACAGACTCCCCTAACCCTATTCTACCCTTTAAGATGCCTTAATTCCTGGTTCCTTGCCCGTTCCATGATAAACCTCCCCTGTCTGCCTCTTAATGCTTGAGGTTCTTTCAGTTTTCCTTTTGGAAACTTAGAGACTTTCCCTAATATTATTTTCCTTAGGGACTTTTCCTGATGTCATCAACTGCTTTATATCCTATCACAGATGGCTTATTTTATGAAATGTTTTAACCTATAAATTTAACTCCTGAGAAATCACCGGACTATATGTGAAGAACATGAGGTTCTATAGAAGGAAGGTGTTATGTAGATTTATTTTTTTAAACTAATTGTAATTATACCAGTATGTTATTGTGTTACTTTTTTTGGAGGATTAAGATAATATCACTTCAAAGTAAAACAGTTTGAGATACCACCATGGGCTTAATGTATTTTTCATGATTAGAGTAGCTTCTCTGTTGGATATCCCTGACTTATTTTAATCTACCGTTAGTCCCATACTGTTCTATAGTCCTAGGGGCACAGGCATTCTTTTTAGAAGAGATAGAGGTTGATTTTCATTTCCCAGGATTTGGCTCTGGTAGATCACTATTTTCTTTTTTGAATTTTAACAGTGTTATTGAGGTATAATCTACATTCCACAAAATTCACACATTTAAAATTCAGTTATTTTTTGGAAATTTATAGAGTTGTACAACCATCTAACAATCCAGTTTTGGAAGTTTTCCATCACCCTAGAAAAGTTCCATGCAACGTATTTGCATCAATCCCTCATCCCTCCTCTCTAAGCCCCAAGCAAACACTGATTTGCTTCCTGTCTTTCTAGATATGCTTTTCCTGGACATTTCATGTAAATAGAGTCATACAGTATATAGTCTTTTGCATCTGGCTTCTTAACATTTAGCAAAACGGTTTTGAGAAGCTCATCCATGTTGTATCAGTAGCTTGCGGTTTTCTTTTCCCCCAGGTGATGTTTCATTGTATGGGTATACCTCACTTTGTTTGTCCACTAAACAGGTGATGGATATTTGTATTATTTCTGTTCAGTAATGCTACCATGAACGTTAATGGTCTTAGTGTGTCGTGTATTCTCACTGTACTTGGTAGATCCCTAGGGGTGAAATTTCTGGGTTGTTATGTTACAGTCTCACCAGCAGAGAATGAGGATTCTAGTTACTCTACCTCCTTGTAACAACTTGGTTTTGTCTTGATGACAGCCATTCCAGTGCTGTGTAACGACATCTTACTGTGGTTTAATATGCAGTTTCCTAATGTGAGTAATAATGTTGAGCATCTTTCCATGTGCTTATTACTTTTTTGAAACGTTTACTCCAATATTTTACTCATTTTAATATTGTGTTGTCTTTTCATTATTGAGCTATAATAGTTCTCTATATTTTCTGTATTTGAGTCCTTTATCAGATGTGTGAATTATAGATACCTTTTCCCAGCCTGTACCCTGGCTTTTTATTTTCTTAATTAAATCTTTTGAAGCACAGAAGTTTTTAAAATTTTAATGAAATCCAGGTTTTTAATTGTTGTCTTTCATGATTTATGGTCCTGGTGACTTATCTGAGACTTCTTTGACTAAACCAAAGTCACAAAGATTTTCTCCTTTGTTTATTTCTAGAAGTTTTATGGCTTTAGCTGTTACCTTTAGGTCTGTGATGACATTTTGAGTTGATTTTTGTGTATGCTTGAGGTAAGGGCCTGAGTTATTTTGTTGCCTATTAGTATCAAATTGTTCCAACACCATTTATTGAAGACTATTTTCCCCCCATTTAATTGTCTTATACCTTTGTTGAAAAGCATTTTACTAAAAATATAACGGTTTACTTCAGAACTCTCAATCCTGTGCCATTTTCCTGGTGATCTATCCTTAATCCTAGTTCCACACTGTCTTGATGACTATAGATAGCTCTGTAGCAAGTTTTGAAATCAGACAGTGTGAATTCTCCAAATTTGTTCTTATTTTTCAATATTATTTTGGCTATTCTAGTTCTTTGCCTTTCCATGTGTTTTAGAATTTGTTCATCAATAGCTACAAAAAGTAGCTGCTGGGATTTTAGATGGGATTGCTCTGACTCTATAGATCAGTTTAGACAGAATGGAATTTGTTAATCCATGAACATTGCATATCTGTCCATTTTTTGTCTTATTTGATTCCTTTCATTAGCATTTTATGATTTTTATTATATAAATGTTACATAGAATTTGTTAGATTTATGTGTAAACATTTCATTTCAAGTGCGCTATTATAATGACGCTCTTAAAAAAAAAAATGGTTTCTCATCCCTCCTCAGCATTGCTAGTTTTGCTCAAACCCTATCAGTCTTCTTTTCCCATCTTGTATTTGAATCTGGCCAAATAGCAGCTACTTACTTTCTTACAAAATAAAGTAAGTAGCTGCTGAAATTTTTCATTTGTGGTTTCTAAGAGATAAAGGGGTGAACAGTTTTTATTATTCTGAGTCAGTGATTCATCAGTAGTTGTTCAGTAAGACTGTCATGTTAGTCTGCTTATGTTCTGAATAGTTTAACACGACAAACTTTTCTCAAGAGGTTTGGTCTGTTGGCAAAGTGTGAGAACATAACCTTTCTTCTTCCCTCTGTAGGTGTCGCAGCTTCCCTGGAAGTCTCTGAGAGTCCTGGGAGTATCCAGGTGGCCCGGGGCCAGACGGCAGTCCTGCCCTGTACCTTCACTACCAGTGCTGCCCTTATTAACCTCAATGTCATTTGGATGGTCATTCCTCTCTCCAATGCGAACCAACCTGAGCAGGTACTTCTGTTCCATTCCATGCTACCTCTCAACCATTCATCTTTTCAGAAGACGTGGGTCAAAAAGCATCCTGAGTACATATTTGATTTCTAGAATAAGGTAGTACTTTCGATGAGCCTGTGCTGTTTTAAATCCTACTTCTGTGTTATTAGTCAACTATCATTAGAGGTTAGCCTCTTTTTAAGAGACTGGTTTTTTTTTGGTTTTTTTTTTTTTTTAACAGATGTCAAGGGACTCCTTCTGAGAATTTTATGTAGGAACCTGGAATTTTTCCAAAAGCCATTGCTGATAGGAAATACCAAGGCAGAAAAAGCAAAGTATACTTTGACAGGAAGGGACTGACACTGACACAGGTGGATGAGAGTATGTTCGAGAGACAGTGATAATGTTAAGGAAGTAAAATTAGATAGTAATACTTGATTTATTTGGCTTATTTCACAAGTGTTTTAAAATAAACACAGCCAGGCATACTAGCCAGCCTCAAAGAGTCTCAAATAAATTAGGGTACATGAAAACAGAAGCTACTACCCACTTACAGGTAAAAGATCCATAATTTGTATTAACCATTGCAGAAAATGATGTTCAGAAAATTAATGATTAGTAATCAAGATTATACCTTTATTCCCAAAGATAATTTATTACTGTTATGAAGCTTTTCTGCTTCAGTAGTAAGCTTATTACTGCCTAAAAATATCTGATAAGGTAAATTTTCTGATATGGATTCAAATATGTATATTTAATAGAAGCTTTTTTTGTTTCTTCAAACCATGGAACTTATTATAATTAGACTGAGTCTTTAAGATCATTTTATTCAACCTTTTCACTTTAGGAGGCAAAGAAAGACTTGTCTGTAGTTACCCAAACATTTACGGATGGAGCTGAAATAGAACCAAGTTTCTCATTCTCAGTCCACAGGGCTTTTTGTAACATCATTCTGAGTCCTGTCTCATGAATAGTTAACTTTGATAATAGGAATTGATGAAAGAAGAGCAATCACAGACCTGCAACTCTTCTTCCTTTTAGGATATTCATTTATGTTCAGGCTATAACTATCATTTTGTCACCTAGTAAGCATGAGAATGGCAGTGCTGATTTTTTAAACTTTTTATTCTGGAATTATTTGAATAAAAATATTTATGGGCTGATAGTAAGATTGCATTCAAGTTATTTTCTATATTGTGATGAGTTCGACAAGGAAACAGTGTTATTCCAACTTGAAATATGAGAATTTAGAATCCCAGAATATACCTATGCATTGGTGCTACAGTAAAAAGTGGGTGACAACTGTTAAGATGAGAAATAAAGTTTTCCAATGTTTGGTGCAGTCTATTGTCTAGCAGATAGTTACTGTTATGTACCATGTGTCTAAAAGGTTTGTAGTGGCCTGTTTATTTATTTTGCTTTCTTTTTCAGGTCATCCTGTATCAGGGTGGACAGATGTTTGATGGTGCCCCCCGGTTCCATGGTAGGGTAGGATTTACAGGCACCATGCCAGCCACCAACGTCTCTATCTTCATTAATAGCACTCAGCTCTCAGATACAGGCACCTACCAGTGTTTGGTCAACAACCTTCCAGATAGAGGGGGCAGAAACATTGGGGTCACCGGTCTCACAGTTTTAGGTGAGTGACAGGATGTTCCAGGCACCTTGGCTTTGCTTACAGTATGTCTCTCTTCTTGAGCATATTTATTTCTGCCCATCCTTCTACACTTTCTCTCTGCTCGTGTCCTTTTCCTGTCTCCTCTCCTGTCTGCCCTGTCTGGACTCTGCTTCTCTCTGGTTTTTTACACATGATCTTCCCATTCCTTTCTCCTTCTAGGGGTTCTCTGAAGCTTCTTAAATGATTTGCTCTGAAGGTGGAGAAAGGTGGTGTAAAATACCGTCACGAGTGGCCTCTCACTTGTGATATGATAGGACTAAATGTTAGCACTTACCATTTAGAGCCACTTAAATCAAGAATCATTTATTTTGAGTACAAAGCAGAAGTTTCAGCTCATGTGAGAAAATGATTACTTCATGTCTACATAACACTGAGTAGGCTCCCCACAGTTCTTGGCTTATATCTCATGTCCTGGTATAATTTCAGTAATACTCCCTTTTACTCTCAAAAGTCTGAGAATGATAAGTTATATGATCAATTTGGTCTTAATACTGAGACCATACAGATCTAGGGCCTTTTCGAGGTGGTGTAGATAATGAACAATAAAGCTTAGATTAAAATGTAGATGTCTTGTTTCAAATGGCTGCTTCTCCCATTTTACCATAGAGTTAGACTATCTCATACTAAATTAAGTCTGTTCTAAACATGTTGTATTTCTCACTTCTGCTGCCTCTGAAATAAAACCCTGCTTCCTAAATGCATGCTTGTGGGAGAAGCAGCTCAGTTCAGTTCTTTTGGGCTGATGCTCTTGATTCTTCTCCATCCTAGCCATGTCTCAGAATCTACTCTCTTATTTCTTGGCAAATTCTTGCCCTTCCTTTTCCCTCCTGTTGTTGAGTTACTTGAGAATATCAGTAATGGGATTTTTTGCCATTTTCCCTCTGTGGGTGACAATATGCTGTAGCCTCGATGTCTTGTTTTCCTAGCCTTCAAACGAAATAAGAAAGCTAAGGACCAGGTTGGAGATTTCTATCCTAGAAATACAGTAATCTGCTTAAAATTGTAGAGTTTTAATTATATTTTTATATTTTATATAAAAATATGATTATATACAAATACATATTTTATATATTTTATATTTATATTAAATAGAATTTTTAATTATACAGAAATTTTTATGAAATATGGAGATTTAAAAATGCTTGAGTACTAAATACAGAGTACTAATAGAATTTCAGTGTTTTTCTGATGTTTATACCTCTAAGCTAGGTAACTGTCTTCCCACAAAAAAAAACCCTTAATTTATCTTATAGTTAATGCTACCTCCAGAGAATTGTTCTGGGTTTCCTTTATAGTCTCATGGTGGCAACATTAAAAGTAGTAATGGAGGACATTGGTTTACCCCATCACAGCAACTAGGATTCTCTGAGATTTTTTACTTTTCCTACCTTATACCCTTTCGTTGTTCTCTCTCCTCCACCCGCTTGTCTTTCCTGGTTCCTCTGTCTACTGCACTTATCTTTTATGTATTCTTACATTCATTTTTTAAAAGGTTGAACACATTTATTGAATAGTCATTAGCATTTTAAGTACATTATCACTTGGATTTCAACTTTAATTCTGATGTACCCCAAGCATGAGACTCCAGGCCATGGGCTTAGTGTATATTTTTATTTGTTTGCATTCTTACTGCAAAGCACCACATTTTTTCCTTTAGTGCTCTTTTTGGGTAATTTTTTATTTTGTGTCATTCGTGTGCTTATCTGCCTTAAAATGTCCACTGCATTACGACCAAGTAGTAGACATACTTGAACCTTCCTCTAACTTCCCCCTGCATAAAGGAGAATTTAGGCCTTTCTGGGTTTTGTTAGTAAATTAACAAAGAGCCCTGTGTGGAGAGTAGCTGCCAGGGCCAGTGGTTGCTCTTTCTTGAAATATCTTTTCTAAAAGTGGCTTCTTGCAGTAATTAAAAATATTTTTTGATTGTGGTAAAAGACACATACCGTGAAATTTGCCATCTTGGCCAGTTTTCAAGTCTATAGTTCTGTGGTGTTTCCTGTTCATGTTGCGGGGAGGCCCATCTCCAGTACTCTGCATCTTGCAAAACTAAAACTCTGTGCTCATTAAACAATGTTTCATTCTCCTACCAGCCGTGGGTAACCATTTTTCTATTTTCTGTTTCTATGGATTTGACTACTTTAGGTGCCTCATAGAAGTAGAATCATTTTCTTTTTATGACTGCCTTATTTCACTTAGCGTAATATTCTCAAGGTTCATCCATGACTGTAGCATGTGTCAGAATTCCCTTCCCATTCAAAGCTGAATAATATTTCATAGTACGTACGTACCACATTTTGTTTATCCATTCATCCATCCATGGACACTTGGGCTGTTTCCAGCCTTGAGCTACTGGGAATCATGCTGCTGCATGCATGGGTGCTCTCATTCACACCTCTACAGGCAGTCTGTGAGCATCAAGGACCTTCACCATTCTTCTTTAGAGGAAGGAGAGTGAAACCAAGACCATAAGATTCCTTGAAAATGTAATGAAGGTGTGAAGCCTTTTTTACATGATCGCCCCCTGCCAGCTGAGGCTGTGGGCCCTGCACTTGTACCCAAGCCCCTTAATAGTACCTAGGACTAGCCACGGGCTTCACTCACCGGATAGTCTTCTGGCGTGTGTCCTACAAACGTTGTCATCTGGGGTTCCAGTGCACTGAATGTTGATGTCTCCTATATCATCAGTTGGCTTACAGTAAATGCGTACTTTATTCCTTATTCTTCCTATTATAGTTCCCCCTTCTGCCCCACACTGCCAAATCCAAGGATCCCAGGATATCGGCAGCGATGTCATCCTGCTCTGTAGCTCAGAGGAAGGCATCCCTCGGCCAACTTACCTTTGGGAGAAGTTAGACAATACCCTCAAACTACCTCCAACCGCCACTCAGGGTATGTACAGTGTTGCTTTACCCATTTAATCAGCTACCACGCAAAATTCAAATTCCAAGACTCATGAAGTAATTAACTTTAATAGATTTTGAAAAATAACACACTGTCTGCTGAGAAAGCTACCTGAATCATTTTGTGTTTCCAACTTTAAAGAGAATAAAACATTTTCTTTCTCGTGTGCTGCCTTTATATATCTCATCCAGTGGTAACTATATATGGAAATTCCGTTCTATTACAGTGAAGGCTTAAAATGGCTAAATGGTAGCTTCTTTATATTGTTAACTATAAGATACCCCTTGAAGTTGGTAACTGAGAAGCCACTTCCTCCTTGAGGCACAGTTGCCTGTTTTAGTGTGAGAAGCATCAGCATGATCATGAGGGGGTCAATCATCCTGTTTTCAGCCTCAAGTCTAATTAGAGGAAGAAGATGGGAAAGAGAACAGGAAAAGGCCTCAGATCATGGGAGAACCAGGAGTTGATCACACCAAACAGGTAAAGATGGAGGAGACATGAGTGTTATCAATTATTTCCTACATGTAAATCCAGTGATTTAAATTGGATAATAAAGGAAACACTCTAGAAGATTTGAGGAAAGCTGATCAAATAGAATGAGGGGGAAATTATAGAATTATATACAAAATCTTCTATTTCAGGAAATAAAATTTGGTGGCCTTGAGTGTTGCATCGTCTGTGATAGGGGTATGTTTCTTGTAGCGTTCTCAGGGCAGGTATACAAATCCTAAGTTAAAGAGTTGGCAGTTAATGAAGGGGCCCCAAACAACCTGAATTATGCCTGAAAAGCTTTGAATCGTATTGATAGTCTATGGCTGTCATCAAAACACAAAGTCCTAACTCGTGTGGTAAAGGTAGCATGTGAAAGAACCAGGGCCATCAGCCCTGTAAGAGCCTGTAAGTTTCCCATAAGAATCTCAGAAATATTAATGGACCTTTCCATCATTTTTTAATTTACTCAGCCCTAAATTAATTATTAAAAAAACAACAACTTCTCAGTGATGGGGGATAATAACTTCTGGCTTACTTTGATAATGATTACTGCAGTACCATTCATTGTTCCCCATGGATTGCTAAATTGCTAAATGTTTCAGCTGCACTGTGGGGTAAATAGGTTTTTTTTGTGAACTAACTTGTTAATCTCACTATTTACATGTAAGTGGTGTGTTTAATCTAGCTCTTGTGTTGAAATCCTGAAAACCATATTTAAATTCCAAATTTTTCCAGTATCTATTTCAGCGACAGTTCACCTCTCTGGGCCTGTGTTGCCTTTTTTTTAATAAAGGGATTAGATAATCATTTCCAAGGTTCATTGTATCGGCACTAAAATTCAATGATTTATATTAAAAACATTTCTGTGAAATATTGGGCTGAGTTTGGAATTACAAATGAATGCTTGAAAGTGGTGGTTTGGGGGCACCTGGGTGGCTCAGTGGTTTAAGCCTCTGCCTTCGGCTCAGGTCATGATCCCGGGGTCCTAGGATCGAGCCCCGCATCGGGCTCTCTGCTCAGCAGGGAGCCCGTTTCCCTTCCTCTCTTTCTGCCTGCTTGTGATCTCTCTCTGTCAAATAAATAAATAAAAATTTAAAAAAAAAAGTGGTTTGTGTGTAAGTTGAGAAATACAGTTTAGAAAGAGCCTATCATACCTCTTTGTCTCTGAATATATGTGTCAATCACGTTTTGTGGTATCTTCTTAGCAACTTAAATATTTTTTAGTACTTTAGTTATGAAAGTGAGCTTGAATGCTAAAGAAGAAAATGTTGGCTTTTGTAATTCAAACTCTGGATTAATTATCAGAATTACTTTGAATAACTTCATTTATCATAATAATGCACATTAAGTGAATCAGATTTTTTATTTAAATTTATCTCTTGGTTCTGATAATAATAAAATAGATCTCAAAATAGTTTATAATCCCAAAATAACTTAGATTTTAAAAGCACTTCACTAATATGTTTGCAGTTGTTTAATTAATTAATTTATTTATTTTTAAAGATTTTATTTATTTATTTGACAGAGATCACAAGTAGGCAGAGAGGCAGGCAGAGAGAGAGGAGGAAGCCGGCTCCCCTCTGAGCAGAGAGCCCGATGTGGGGCTCCATCCCAAGACCCTGGGATCATGACCTGAGCCGAAGGCAGTGGCTTTAACCCACTGAGCCACCCAGGCACACCTACAGTTGTTTAATTTAAATTCAAGGTGTATTCTCTGAGAAAAAAATATTTTGACACCAGGGAAGGGCACTCTAGAAGTCAGATTAGTGACAGGGACATAATATTTAGGGGATTAGAATTGTCCTTGTGTGTAGGGCCTAGCATGAAGGAGCTCCTTCTGGACGATTCTGGGACAATTTGAAAATTAAAATCAATATATAATCTGTTGAATAAAATAAAAATCCCCAAATCCTTGCTAATATGCATAAATAAATGGGAGAGAAGGAAAAGCATTTTCTCAGAGTGGAATGTTCCTTCCCCACTGCAGAAGGAATAGTGGAGTTTGAAAATTACCATTGATGTCAAAATAGTGGGCAAAAGTTTGATGAGGAACAAGATATTTACATAGTACCAAAGTGTGCCCCTACATATTTCTTATTGATTTTATTTTATTATTTTTTTTAAAGATTTTATTTATTTATTTGACAGAGAGAGATCACAAGCAGGCAGAGAGGCAGGCAGAGAGAGAGGAGGAAGCAAGCTCCCCGCTGAGCAGAAAGCCCTATGTGGGGCTCCATCCCAGGACCCTGGGATCATGACCTGAGCCGAAAGCAGAGGCTTTAACCCACTGAGCCACCCAGGCGCCCCTTTTCTTATTAATTTTAAAGATAACTTTATAGTGGAGAGACCTGGTTGATACCATGTAACTGAGTGATCAAAGTGAACATTACCAATACTGTTACAAACTGATAGCTTATGCCTGCTCATATATGTATGCTTTGAGGAGGACACAACATCATTTCTGTGGTATTCTTGTCGCAAACACAAAATCTGTATCCGGTGATGAGGAAACATCAAACAGAGGTGAAGGCAAAATTATTCCAGATTGAGAGAGACTCAGGAGTTAAGAAAATAGAATGCAGAATCCTGGATTAGAATCTGGATAGGGGAAGAAAGAGCCATAAAGGACATTACTGGTACAGTTGTTGGAATCTGAGTATAAACTGTAGAATGGATAATAGTATTGTATTGATATTCAATTCCTTCACTTTGGAACTTGTACTGTGATATGTAAAGAATGTCTTCATTCTTAGGAAATATGAAGTACCGTTTGGCCGTTGCTTCTAAGGTCTGCACAACTGGCCCAGATTTCATTAAGTGTCTGGACATGTGTCACATTCACCAGCCCCTGCCTCAGTGGTTCTCAACTGGGACAATTTCATTTGGCAATATTTGGAGACATTTTTGGTTATCACAGCTGACATAAGAGGGTGCTACCAGCAGCTAGTGGGTAGGAGCTAAGGATACCCCCACAATAAAGAATTATATGGCCTGTGGGGCACCTGGGTGACTCAGTTAGCTGAGATCCAACTCTTGATTTCAGCTCAGGTCATGATCTCATGGGTTGTGAGATCGAACCCTATTTCAGGCTTAGCACTCAGCACAGAGTCTGCTTATCCCTCTCTCTCTGCTTCCCACCCCTGCAACTCATTCTCTTTCTCTCAAATACATAAAATTTTTAAAAAGATAAAAAAGAATTATCTGGCCCAAAATGCTAATGAGTGAATGACATTAATATATTTTCTAATGTCAAATATCCATGCATTTCTGGAATAAAGTCTATATGATTGTGATTACTTTTTAATAAACTGCCCCATTCGGTATGCTAACATTTTAATAGAATTTTTACATTTGTGATCTTAAGTGAGAATGGTCTGTGATGTTTTTTCTGTCTTCCATTGCCCTCATTCAGTTTTAGTATCAGATTACATAAGGGTATTATAAAATGAGTTAGGTACTTGTCCTTCTTTTTCTATACTCTGCAACAGTATGAATAAGATGGAGATTATTTGATGATTTTGTAAATTTGCCTATAAAAGCTTTGCCTTGCTATTATGTTTTGTTGGTAGATTTTTGACTCCTGACTATTTTTCTAGTGATATAAGTTTACTTAGATTTTCTGTATCTTCTCTATTTTTCTTTTTCTTTCTTTCTTTTTTTTTTTTTTAAGATTTTATTTATTTATTTGAGAGAGAAAAAAGGAGTGCGTGCATGACTGGGGTCGGGGCAGTGTTGCAACTGGGGTTGGGCAGAGGGAAAGGGAGAAACAAACCCTACACTGAGCAGGGAACCCTATCTGGGGCTCAATCCCAGGACCCTGAGATCATGACCTGAGCTGAACGCAGATGTTTAACCACCTGAGCCACCCAGGCACCCCTCTTCTCTATTTTTATAGAAAACATCTTTTTTTTTTGTATGAGTTTATACATAATGGCATCAAGTTGTTCATATATTCTATAAAGTCAGGAGAATGTATTTAAGAGTGCAGGTTCTGGAGTCAGAGGATGTGATTTGGAATCCTGGCTCCAGGAGTGACTGGTTATGTGACCTTGTACCTTAGTTTTCTTACGTGTAAAATGGACACAATAACAGTAATTGCCTCACAGGGGTGGAATAAAGATTAAATGAAAACACTTGTAAAACTTTTAGAACAGCATCTGGCATGAATAAGCACTTAATACTAATGTTTTTTATTATCCTTAGTATTATTTTCTTGCATATTTTAAAACTCTATTATATTTCCGTTTTCATTATTAATTTTATTTATGCTTTTCCATCTTTATTTTTTGGATCAATCTTGTTAATTCAAGCTTTTGATTTTATCCTTTTGTATACTGATATTAACTCTGTTTTTCTTTTATTCATTCAACAAATATATGTTAGGCATCTATCTATCTAGATACTATTCTAGCTCCTGGAGATACAGTGGAGAACAGAACAGAAATGCTTCTTTCCTTGATAGAACTTACTTTCTAGTGGATGGAGATTGAATATGA